ACTAGGGGGCTACGCCCCCTGGCCGCTACGCGGCCCAACCCCCTGAAGGCGCTCCGCGCCATCAATGGGCCGCTTCGCGGCCCTACTTTTACCCTCCTATCAGTGTTAGTTTTATTTTTCCCCTAAACAATTACAATATGAGATATACTTTAATTTTAAACTTTATACTTAAAATTACTTTAAAATTAAAAGGACGGGTTTTGGAATGACTGCTTGATGAAATATTGCAGTAAAACAATGATAATCAGGTAATAATGAAAATTTCATGAGTCGGGGATCGAACCCACCCTGTCCGTTATTGGACGCATTCGACGTCTTAGACGACTCAGCCACCGCTCAATGTGAGAGCGCTACTGCAAATCTTGTGTACATAAGTGTAGAGCTGATGCGCAGGCTACACAGTTACTGCGCAACCTCCAAGTATAAATTTACATTGTTTAAATGGGAGAATTCGCAACTTTACCACGTAATATAAAAAAACCTGGGCCATATTTTGAAAATCTGAAAAGAGTTNAAACGATCACAGCCTGCAAATCTACAGCTCAGGGGCTTTCATTTAAAAAAAATCCCATGCAAATCGGTCCGGTGGTTCTCTCAAAGTTAATGCCCCAAGATTCGGGACTTTGCATTTTAATATATAGGATAGTATAGATAGATAGATATCGAAGGCTGAAGTCGAAATATGCATGTCTTTGAATGTATCGGTGCAAAACTCTGCTCAGGTACAATTTATTTTTTGAAAAAAGGGAAACTAATCTATACATTTGAACCAGAAATTTTCTGCTTGAATTTTATTCACAATTTAAAATTTAAATATTTATAAAATATTTAAAGGGTAGTTTTTTTAGTAATTTCGAAAACTCAGAGTAGTAATCTTTTGAAAAAAAAAAAAAAAAAAAACATAGCTAGGAATTTGTCACGTTACAGACATACATTCGTAGACTTTAGCAATTGTCATTTTTATTCAAGCTGTAGTTCTCAATCATTAAAAGCACAAAGGCAAAGGCATTTTTACTATCATGATAACAACCATGTGGTTTGTAAGAGAGCAGTGGAGGTTAGGAGTCGTAGAGCGCGAGGGAGTGCTGTAAAGCGATAACAACCTTCTTCCTTAAACCCCTCCTCGTTTTATTTCAACCCCTTAAAATTTTTGGTGCTCTGCTCTCAATCCTTATTTAAACCCCTTAAAATTTTTGGTGCTCTGCTCTCAATCCTTATTTAAACCCCTTAAAATTGTTGGCGCCCTGCTCTCAATCCTTACTTAAACCCCTTAAAATTGTTGGTGCTCTGCTCTCAATCCTTATTAAACCCCTTAAAATTTTTGGTGCTCTGCTCTCTTGTGTCAGAGTATTCATCTGATGGGTAGTTGCCTCGCGTAGGCGTGAACGAACCGCTACCACGAGGCACCCGTCCAATTCTCACTGCTCAACCCTCCCTTCTCCTCCCAGCGTCGAGTCACCCCTATCCAAAGCTCCCTTTTTGACGGACTTAATTTGTTTGCTGACAGACATTAGTCAAATTGATAGCGACATCATAAACAGGCGATAACAAGTAATTTATTGGTATTATCTTTCATCTAGGTGCATATTATACTTGTATTATCATATTTTAACGCTCTCATCCGATTCTGGAATAGCTTCCCTTGATTTAGCTGCATTTTATTGAATGTTTTTCAAGGTTGTTTTTGCAATAATTTTCCTCGGTTGGATCATATTCTATTGTGAGTCATTGCTTACTTGGTCGCCTTCGAGGTTTAGACTTCTAATATAAAAGAAATGATGAAAACATGAAGACATAGGAGAATTTTTCTCAAAACCTCGAGTCACTTTTCTGTCATGCTACAGAGAAGGGCAGTAAGTGCATTCTGGGATGAGTCTTGAGACACGCGAGAGCATGTACTTACCGTGACTCATACAGAATTGCACTTATAAGTGCACAAACGCTCTTAAAAGTGCATTTCTGTATGAGACTGCGTTCTTTCTTAGCACGGCAGTTTCTGCGCGTCATCTAAAAATCTAAGAAATGTTTATAGTGGAAATATGGTGATAAATTTAAAATGAGCGGAGATCACATCAGCGCTGATGAGTGAGGCAATTTCATAGGTGAAAACAAACAAGAAAACAATTATACACGGAGAAAAAAACCTCGTGCCTGCACTGTTAAAAATCGTTGATTCCGTCCGACGGAAAATCCGGAGTGAGAATGAACACGGGAGTGCGGTTCAGCGCGTAGGTGCTGAGACGGGCTGCATGTGTAGTCAAAGCACTCCGCACCGGAGCTGCAGTACGGCCCGGAGTCACGCGCACCTTCTCTCCCTCGCACTAGCGCTATATAGGTACTGTCTCTTCTCCCCTTTAAGCCTACCACTCTCAGAATGAAAATGAAAAATTTAAAGAGAAAAAAATAGAAAAAATAATAGAATAGTGGAAATAATAGAATAGTCGAAATTATGGTATATTAGAGACAATAGAAAATAAATAAAATAAAGTAAATCAAATATATGATAAAATGAAGTCAAGGACTAAATTGAAGTAAATAATTAGGGGGAGCAAGGAGATGAAGAAAAAAATAAAATAAGGGAAACAACTAAATGATGTTGAAGAATAGAATGAATTTTAAGAGTAAAGTGAAGTCCAAAAATTATGATGAAGTATTAAAAGAAATCACAGTAAATATAAAACAAAGTAAAGGAATGAGAAGTAAATAATTAAAGAGAAAAAAATGAAGTGCTTGAAAAAATAAAATAGAGTGAAAAAAATAGAGACAACAAGGAAATAAAACAAAGTAAAACGATAAAATATAGTTAAAAAATATATTAAAGTAAACTAAATACACGGACAAATCCAGGTAGATTGATAATATCTTAGCGGCCCGTTCAAATCGACGTTAAATACCGTTTTTGCGTCACTTCCTTACATCGTTCGCTATAGCTCAATCGGTAGGGTCGTCGGTTAGTGATAGGTAGGTCCCGGGTTTAATTCCCAAGGTAGGTAGAAAATTTCTGACCTTCAAAATCGGTTAAAACACGTACCAATGGTTAAATTATTTTTATTTTTCATGGTTTCAAAAATTATTTCCACAATTAACCCCTTTCCACCATCCCCTAGCTGCGAACCCCTAAATTTGCGGCTCCCGCGAATCCGTCCGGCGTCGGAGTGATTTCTATACGTACGGCACCCAAAATCCGTCCAGCCGATTCTCCGTCGGAGTGGCTCCTCGGTCCGGCGAAGTGAGGGCCCGTTCTTACTCGCGCTTGTGCTGAGTCTCACTCCGTTTTTTTTAACAGTGTGGGACCCGAAGTTTAGGTCATATATGGATCTCTGAAGTTTTCGGATTGAGCATCTGAACACTTTAGGTCTAGCTGTCGAGGTTCGGGTCACACATCTGAAACTTCAGTTCTTACATTTGAAGTACTTCAGATGTGAGAACCGAAGTTCTTCGGATGTGAGAACCGAAGTTCTTCAGATGTAAGAACTGAAGTTTCAGATGTGTGATCCAAACCTCAGCAGCTGGACCTCAAGTGTTCGGATGCTAAATCCGAAAACTTCAGAGATTCATATTGACCTAAACTTCGGGTCCCACGTACGAAGTTTTTTTCTCCGTGTAGTCAGCACCTCACATCACACGGTGTTGTATACAGCGTTAACGTCATAATTTTGTTGTTATTTACTCAAAGTCAGTATCAATGGTCAAATTAGTGCGAAACCATGAATCTCCGTTTTGGACGTTGCAAACTGCCTGTTTCAATTTATTTTGTCTTGGGAAAATTATTCAACGTACTTTCTAGAAAATTTCCTTGATTTTTTTTTATTTCAGCAGGATACTCTTGTGTAAATTTCAAGCTATGAAATTGGCTTGACTTTCTTTAAAAAAACAGGAGGAGACATTTTGGAACGTAGCAATGGAGATACGGGGTTTTGCACTTTGGTCCTCGAAATTTAATTCCTTTACTTTCAAATGTAAATCTTTGACTGGTCTGAAAAAAAAAATTTAGTGCGTTTAATGGCTTTCTCGTAAATTATCGACGCGTTCATGAAGCTCCTCGAAAAACTGTAAATTACATAGCGCCGTTCAAGATCTTCTTTTATTCATTTAAACTAGACTGAAAGTATCCTCAATTCTTCTTTCACCATGATTAAAAATGGAGAGAACTATGAGAAAATTTGTTCCCTACTTTTCTCCTCCACAATAAAACTTAGAGAGCGGAATGGCACGATAGATTTTTCGAGGGTTTTGGAACTACAGACTTTGATTGTAAATTTATCTAAAAAGATAATTTTCCGGATGTATGTATGCCAGGAATCTGGTATACCCTTTCTAACGATGATATCAAAATGTTCTAGGTTTGGGTTGCCCGAGCAAATCATCGTATCAGCATTTAACTTCCATCACAGAAACGCTGCGCGTCGCCACAAAAACAGGTGAGTCCGTCAGATTTTTATTTTTAAATTTGATTGGACTTGGGTTGAAAGGCGAAGACTTGAATTATCCAGTACAATAGAAGATCAGATCTTAGGTAGAAAAGATCGATTCTCAGTTTTTGATTCTAAATGCACTCGGAATTTTTTTAAGTGTAATCTTCCGCACGAAATAATGTAAAATTAACTACTCTATACGCTGGGGTACAGTTATTTGGATTACATTTTGCAATAAGGAACCACTAACTCTGGCTCATCCATAAAAGCACGTATATTCATAGGGAAATCAATGGCACATATGTTGTTTCTAAAATGAGCCAGAAATAGTGGTTCCTTATATTGCAAAATGTAGGTAATCCATTTCATTTCAGTTTTGTACTTTAGTCCTTCTTTAAAAACCCCTTTTTCTATCTCCATTGCGTTTTTTTTCAAGTGCGCCCGTCAAATTATATATTTGGATCCTCACATATGTGCTCTCATTCTTATCTAGGCATCTGATTCATCGAAAATCTCACTTTTTTGGATTCCATGACGCTGATCGCGATAAACTGGAAGAATGTCCAGCGTAACTGACTTTTCTGTTTTAGAAGTGAGCGCACGAAAAATCAGTTTTTTTATACACAAAAAATGAGACTAACAAGACAGAACTGTTTCATCCACTATTTTACACCAATCAAACTCCTCAAAACCTTATTTATCGAGGTGATTTTTTCCCACGCCCTAACCGTTAAAAGTTCGGGCGTTGAGCGAGAAAAAGTTGCACCGATCACGCAAATAGAATATATCCCTATTTCATCTTCCGAAGATTAAATAACGACTAAAATAAATGGTGTAAAATTGATGATCCTAGTAGGGGGTTGGATCAGGCGCCACTACCCGCGTTAGCCCTCCCACGGACCGCACCTTGAATCTCTGCTACTAATTAATTGACACCCCCTCCCTGCACTGCTGACTACCCGGTAAAATAGAGGGTCTCGATATCACTATCATCACGAGGTTATCAGATTGTGCGATGGAATAAGCATATTTTCTGTATGCGTTAATTCGAGTAAAGGAGATGCAAAGTTAAGTTACTTTTTTATCCAGGTTTATGAGATGTTGTTAGATTACATGCAGAAAAAAAATGAATGAATAAAAATAATGAGCGCTAGGCTAGCAAAAAGAAAAGAACTGTTCATCACCAAAAAAAGTTCTTAATTGTTTTTGTAAAGTGTTTGTACCATGTAAGGTCAAACTTCGGTCATAAGCACAGAGCACTGTGCTCAGAACAGGAACACTCATAGACAGAAAAGATAAGTAGTCTTACATGTATAGGATGCTGTATTTCCATGAGCTTCAATTGTTCTTTTGTTTCTGAAATGAAGAATCTAAGGAACTTCTACCGGAAAGTTTCCAAAGAAATTACTTTAGAAGATATATTTATTTTATTTCTTCAATTTCAGCCTGGCAAAGACTAAACTTCCACATTTGTTGCTGCATACTCTGATACAGTTTTTTTTTTTTTTCTAAAGAAATCATACAAATACGGTTGTGCATCACATACTTCGTCAAAAATATAGAAGTATGATGTTCACTCTTCAAATAATAATTTGCCAGGAATTTTAAAGGGTTGTGAGAGTGGGGACCGTAAAAAACTTAGAAAGGAAAATATTCCAAATCTCCTGGTTTAGAACCTTTCTTTTTCTTTTTTTTTTTCAAGAATAATGTTGAGATCGGAGTGAGGCCAATCGTGTTTGTCAAAACTACTATGGAATTCATAACATTCTGTTTATACAGTTTTCTTTCTAGGTTTGACTTGAATTACATTTATCACACTGAAAAAAAAATCTCGGTGTAGTTACCAAGAATTCAGGGTTCTATTTGATCCCAGTTTTTTCTTGATTAAATTACCATTTATGGAATTGGTAATTTTACCGAGAAATCTCGGTAAAATTATTGAACTTTCTCGGTAATTTTACTGGACCTTGGTAAAAACGCCGATATTTTTTATCGACTGTGGTAGAATTACCGAGATAAAATGACAAAGTTACCGGGAATTGATTACCAATAAGAGTGGTATTCTTACCTGAAAAAACAGTAAAAATACCGGTTTTTAGGTGAGCTTACCAGTCTGTCTTGGTAAAATTACCAATAATTGGTAAAAAAAGTGAGATGGTAAAGGTACGTACCAACGGACCTTTGTAAAAAGGTTAAAATTTTTTTTTCAGTTCACACTTATTTTCTCTTTGATGAGTTCAGTTAGGACTTTTTCGGAAAAATGAATGTTTTCCGGTGCTCTCTGGCAACTTCTCAATCGCAGTCAATTGTAAATCCAGCGGTGCAAAACTAATAAGCCGCGGAGCGGGAATAATTATCATGGACTGACAACACTTTCATTTCATAAAAAGAGTGGCGATGGCCCTGGATGGGGTGAGCCGCGAGCCGAGCACGCGAAAAAGTCATGAGTCATGTAAATCGCGCCCCCTGGAACTACATTGTTGTACTCGCGTAGTGTCTGTGACTCGATTTACGGCCTCAGGGCTGGCTCGATTCTCCTCACTACATTACGAGGTCTGCCCCTTGGCCACTTCGCGACCCAACCCTCGGAGAATGCATCGTGTGTACCACTTTTTGCAGCGATGCTATTCGAAATTTAAAGTTTATTATATAACACCAGTCTGGCCGACTCGGGTTTTTTAGATCCGCGGCTTCTTATAATTTGATGGGAATGAGCAATGGGGTGCTCTTCACCACGAAGAGTTTTGAAATAGAAAAAGAAAACTCGAATATGTTTAAGATTTCTTCTTTAAGTCAGACGGTGACGCATTGGACATCGGGAGAGAAGAAGTAGAAGAAGAAGAAGAAGAAGAAGAAGAAGAAGAAGAAGAAGAGGAAGAAGAAGAACAGGAGGAAGAAGAAGAAGAGAGGGAGGGTAAGAAGAAGAAGGGTATAGAAGGAAAAACAAGTAGACGAAGAACTGAACAAGAAAAAAGGAGAAAAATAAGGAGGAAATGGAAGAAAAGAACGAGAAGAAGAAAATGGAGGAAAATAATGAGAAGAAGAAAATGGAGGAAAAGAATGAGAAGAAGAAAATGAATAGGAAGGAAAGTGACCAAAAGAAAGTAAAAAAGGATAAAGGGAGGAGAAGGAAAGTAGGAGAGGATGGGAAGAGAGAAGAAGAAGAAGGAAAAAAGAGGGGGAGGCAAAAAACGAAGAATACGGAATCATACTTGTTCATCTTCTTCCGTGCATCTTCTCTTTTCCTCCACTCTCTACCTCCTCTTTGTCCCCCTTCTTTTATAAATGGTTATACGTGTGCTTTGACGTTGTTCGGTGACGGAGCTCAAACAAAAAACGATAACAAACGACGATTGGTCGCTTAAAAAGTCGCGCGCGTTTAACCCATGACTGGGTGTCGAAAGCTATCCGTGGGAGTGCAAACAGATCCAACTGCGGGATAGGAGTTAGACGGGAGAAGCAATTAGGCGTTGACCTCGGTGTGATGGGAGCATGATTAAGATAAACAGTGGTTTGGCCACCTGAGAGCAGGGGATGGCCCAGGCACGTGGCCTCAACTCACCACCTGAGCGCCGTCGGGCCCTGCAAATGGCCTCCACATCATCCGCCTCATGACAGGTCAAGTGGTGGTGAGCTGGCCGTCCGCCGTCGTAAAAACTCGTTTTATTAGTGATGTGCGTGGGGAAAATTACACACAATCCCCTTATAAAAAAGGAAAAGTGTTCTCCCGGCTGCATAAAGTGACTGAATCGAAGATTTCCTTACAGCAAAAGTTATACAGCTTTTCTTTTAGATAAGCGTATCTACTTCTTTTAAAATTTGAGGAAATTAGTGCGCTGAACACGTGAGTCCTCAACTTTCAGAGAGGGTCGTCCTTGAAATTTGAAAGACGAAAAATATGGAACCATGAAATTTGAAAGACGAACCAAAAAAATATGAGGGGAAGTCTTCAACGTCGCAAATGGAGATACGTAGTCTCGCATTTTGGCCATCGATGTGAAACTATGTATTATGGACCGATGTAGGTTACAGTGCATTAGGGTCCATATCAGGACCGGATTTACCTACTTATTGCCGCCCATGGGCCGCTAGTATTTTGCCGCCCCCTTCTCATTCGTTTTGAAACATCAATGAAAACCATCAAATGAACGTGCTAGCGGGGGAGGGGTGCATAAGACGCGTTTACACGTGTTGGGCACATTTTTTGCGAAAGCCCAGTCAACAATACTAGCAATAGTTCACGAAACTTTGCGCGAAAGTTAAGTTTCGTAAACCTATCTCTGTGTGGACAAGGCCTTCCATTCATAAGAAATGAACCAAAAAATTATTAAAGAACAAACATAAATGTGGATTAATAATTTTAACTTCCGCCGCCGCGCTTCGCAGACTGCACTGTGTTTGACGCAATGCGTGAAGTATTCACGCAGTCTTGTAGGCGCTCCCTGTCTCGCGCTGATCGCACTGTGTTTGCCGCAATGCGTGAGGTATTCATGCATTCTTGTAGGCGCTATCCATTTCACGCTGTCCGCAATGACCGCACTGTCTTTGATGCAATGCGTGAAGTATTCGTGCAGTCTTGTTAGCGCTAATATGTGTTACATGCCGATCGCCGCGCCGAGGGCTTCTCCTTTTCATCTCAAGTCCTCGTCATCATTTCTCTCTAGGTAAGTCGCGCCGCTCCAGGCCAAATTGCGTGTATGGTCTCTGTCTTAACTCGACTAATTAAAGGTGCTGCCTCTTATATCACTGAAAGACGACAAAAGTAGAAATTACTATACTCTCAGAAAATTAGAGATTTTGTCGCCTTTTCTCGTTTATAATTTTTTTTTCTAAATCCGAATTTTTTTTATACCTACATTTAAAAAAGTTGCAAAACTTGCCGCCCCTATAGATTTGCCGCCATGGGCCGCGGCCCATGTGGCCAACCCCTTAGTCCGGCCCTGGATGGATTCCATATGGATTCCGTATACGACCGAACTTTGTTTATCAGTCCGTAAATCTCAGTT